ACAGCCCCTCATCAACTAGTAAAAATAGAAAAAGGGACAAAGGATCACCTTGACAACGACCTTTGACAATCGAGAATTCCTTCGTCGGGCTGCCATTAACTAAAATAGAAATCCTTGCTGTTGAAAGACATTCATGAATCCATTGTCTCCATTTAACCCCAAAACTCATTCTAGCCATCATCCAATCAAGAAAAGACCAATCTACACAATCATAAGCCTCTTCAAAATTGACTTTAAAAATACAGTTCGCTTGTTTCCTTTTCTTTACCTCGTCCACCACCTCATTCAAAATCAACACACTATCCACCAATTGTCACCCACCCACAAAAGCTTATTAGAAACACTAATAATATTCGTCATTATCATTTTCAATCGATTAGCCAATACCTTAGCCAATCGTTTATACAAACAACCAATCAAACTAATAAGCCTATACTCCTTAAAGTGCATTGGATCTAATTTTTTAAGGATCAATGCTAAAAAAGAGGAAATTAAATCATTAACTAACCTCCCATGTTGATGAAAATCCATCATAAAATTTATAAAATCATCCTTCAATGTGCTCCACGCAAACTTCATGCAATTAAAATTATAACCATTCGGTCTTCTTGCCTTTAACCCATCATAGCTACTAAGTCCCTCTTGAATTTCCTCAATGGAAAAAGGCATTTCCAACTACTCCTTTTGTGTTGTTGAAATGCTGTTGAATTGAAACCCACCCATTATTCGAGAGACTCCACTATTCACTCTGAAACAACTTATTAAAATACTTCATAGCCTCCACTTCACTGCATTTGGTTCTTTAACCCAACCATCCTCACACAAGACCCCTGATATTGCATTTTGTGCCCTCCTTGTGTGCACACTTCTATGAAAGAAGCTTGAATTTGCATCCCGAAGGTGAACCCACATACTTTGTGATTTTTGTTTCCACATAACTTCTACCTTCTTTAAAATTTCCCACATCTCTTGAAAACATTCTCTTCTCATCGCTACCTCATTTACACTCAATTCCCCCTCCTCATTTTTTTTTATCTAGCATCTCAATTTGCTCTGATAATTTTATTAATTGAGCCTCAACATTGCCAAAAACCCCACGATTCCAACTCCTCAACTCATCTTTTAATAGTTTCAACTTTTGCTTACATTTATAAGCCGCCCATCCTTCAACATGCAATTCTTTCCATCTGTCCTCCATGAACCCTCTAAAGTCTGGATGTTGTTGCCATGCATCAAAGACCCAAAAAGGTTTTGGACCCCAATCTATGTTTCTTGGCTTCAGAATAATCGCACAATGATCTGAAATTGATCTTCTAACATCAACTTGACTCCAATCCGTACACAATAGACTCATTTCAGTAAGCATCAGAAACCTGTCAATCCTACTCATTAAAGTACCATCAAGTTTGTACTATGTAAATTTTCTATTCATCAAATTAACATCAATTAACTAGGTACCTTCAACAAATTGATTAAAATCATGCATATCTTGTGTCTGTCTCATTCTACCTGATGAAAGCATGAAAATATATATTTAAAGTGTGCTTAATCATTAACATTTATGAAATTATGAGTTTAAGAGTTATATTTTTCTACAAGTAATTTCATAATTGTTCATTCTATTCATATTGTGCAAAATTTTGGTGATTAAAGTTTTGATGACTAAATGGAGAGAATTAGAAGAAAAGGACTCAAATATAAAGAGCCAGAAAGATGAGGGTTTAAGGATCAAATTTAGAAATTTGAAGGCTCAAGTGAGATTTTCTCCATTCTTGATTAAGGAGCAAATTGCAAAGATCAAAAAGATGATGATCAACTCACACGGAATCCAGGAGTCAAGGACCAGAACTGTTATTCTACCTTTAACCAAAATTGCAAAAAAGGCCAAAAATCCGACACGGAGGATGCAGTTGACGCTCCACTCAAAGTGCCGGAACCTTGGAAAAAGTGTCGACTCCTTACGCGATTTTTCAGCCAAATCATCTGTCCTAATTATTGTGATGTGGGCCCCACAACCATTCTAATTAGGGTTTTTAGGATTTTATAAATACCCATCCAAGTTATTTTAGAGGTGGTTCCAAGGTTCGGAGAGGCTGCTACCAAACTTCTATTTTCTTCTTCAAGGCTACAGAATTATATCAAAGGGCAACTAAACTTTCAACATGATTAGGGAGGATCTTGATTGAAAAGTTTGACTTGTTATTTTATTTTGATTCCTTCATAGATTTTATTGTTTAATTTTATTTTTGAGAGATTATTAATTATTTTCAGACTTGAAAACCTTCAAAATTATATTTATCAAATTTCATATAAGATTAGTCATACTCTTTTTATGTGTGATTTGTTAGAATATAATTAATTGGTAGATTTGTTTTGCGGGTTGATCCTTTACTACAGTATTGTCGATTAAATATATTGTCGCTCTCAGATAGCTCGTAAGGATAGATCAGTTTGTTCTTCATTGAAATTAATTTTTCTCAAAATAAATACATTAGTCATTATTATTGGTTTTCAAAGTTGAATCTTCTGATTGTTTGTTTGGGATGTGAAACATGCAATTGAATAATAAATAGGAATCAAAATTTATAACAATTAAACAAATCAATTAAGTAAATCCTGAAGTCTTGTTCATCATAATATTGTTTTTAATCTTTTACAATTATCATCTTTTATTTAAATATTTTTATTTTTAATTTTGGAATTCATCTTTTAATTTAATTTCTCATTGTGACAACTCTTTTTGTTGATTTAATATAGTTTCTCTGTGGATTCGACACCTAAAGCTACGCTACACCAACAGCTTAGCCAATGGGTATTAATTTTGAGGCGAGAGATCACTACCTTTCATATGAGGATAATAATTAATTGATAAAATTTCATATTTATCCTAAATTAATCACAACTTAAACAATTATGCTTAGGTATTTAATATAGATTAATATTTGTAATTATCTTCTTAAAATAATGGATAAATATGAATAAATACATTAAATAATATTTTAAAATAGAAAAGTAGACAATTAATTTTAAATGTTTCAAATTAGAAAATAGAAGAGAAAAGGAATAAATAAGAATACTAATTTTATACTTTTTTCTATTTAAAAATATTAACTTGTATCAATTAGATGATAATGCTAACATAACAAATGAATTTTTTAACTGAAATGTTGAAAATTAGTATTTTTAAATAGAAAAAAATTAAAAGTTAATATTTTTAAATAAAAAAAGTTCAAAGTTGATATATTTATTTAAAAATTAATAAAGTTAACATTTTAAAATAGAAAAAACTATAAAGTTGATATCTTTGTTTACATATTTTCTAAAAAAAAAAATATTAAGGTTGAATAGGGATAGTGCTAAACACACACATTAAAAATAAAAGAGGAAGAGTAAGAAAACTCTCTTTACCACTATTTTTAAGACACTTTTTAGGTATTTAGGACACATGTAACTTAAATTTATGTGATTAATCATAATATTAAATTTTAAAAACACTAATTTTAGTATTAATCACCAATCATATTAAATTTATGTTCTACTAGTTTGGATCATAAAGAGACTATTTTTAAAAGAGTGCTAAAGAGAGTGTTTTTAACACTCCGTAAAATAAAAATTAAGAACCAAAACCATAATAAACAAAACTTATATATTGTAATTATTTAATAAAAAATATCATATCATTTGAATTATACTAACAAATTATATAATTTAAATTATTAAATAAAATAAACTCTTAATATTAAAAGCTTTTCCATCTAATAGGAGTAATTCTTGTTTCACGAAACAAATTAAATTAAGTTAAAACCTCATTTTGGTTCCTCAATTATTGTATGAATCCCCGATTTAATTCTTAAACTTAAAAAATCCATGATTTGATCATTACTGTTTATCATTTTAACCCTGATTTGATCCTTCCATTAAAAATCTTGTGACATGACATGTTACTTCATGGCTACAAAATAACATGTCAAATATTAATACATGTGTAAGACAATATGACAAAAAAAAATGATAACATAAAAAAATAATAATATAACAAAATATTAATATGAAAAATAAAACTTAAAAAATTCTTCTTCTTTTTTTTCTTTCTTTTTTCTTCTCTTTCCCTTTCTCTTTCCCCTTCCCCTCTTTTTCCCCTTGAAACCTAGGTGCAGGTTCCTTCGAACCCAAAGGCACAAAATATAAAAAAAAAATCTATCTTTTTTTTTTTTTGGGTTTTGTTGTTTGATGAAGATGAAAAATTGATGGATGAAGATAAAGAATTGATTGATGAAGAAGGCAAGGCAAGGAAGAGGAAAGAGACAGAAAGGATGCCTGTTGGGTTTGATTGAAGCCAGGTGCTTTTGTTTTTTTGTTTTTTTGTTGTTTGATGATGATGACAAAGAACCTAGCAAGGGTAGAAATTGGTTGAGATGAATAAATTGATTGAGATGGTAGGGTTTGTAGAAGTTGAAGAAAAAGAAAGGAAAGAGAGGAACAAAAAAAAGAAAAAATTGGGTGGGATGAGTTGGAATGGCCATGTCATCTATTTTGTCAACTTGTCAATTTTTATATGACACATAATGCTTCTTTTGTCTTTGTCCATCAATTATCGTGAAAAATTAATAGAAGGGCCAAATCAATGTTGAAATGGTAAACAATAAGAACCAAATCAAAAATATTTTAAGTTTAAAGATCAAATCAAATATATGTATAATAATTCAGGGACTAAAAGTGAAGTTTTAACCGTTAAATTACCGGATTGAATGTATTCATAAAACAAAAAAAACTTTGCAGGAAAGTCCACGTGCCCTGCAGTTGA